TCAGAAAAAAAAGCAAAAGAATCCCGAACGCTTTGTTCCTACTACATTTGCTTCCTACCACATTATCAAAGAGGCTAAAAAAAGTTTTGAATCTATCGCATGAAATGATGGATTAAAGACTTCTCTTGTTGCTAGTATCATTCGATCAGTCATCAGTTTTGTACTCTTTAAAAAAAGAGGAATCAAAACAAAATTTCAAAATATTTATAAAAAAGAGAATTTTTGTTTACTTTCGATCAGTGATCAATAACTATTAATTGACCTACCATAGTCTACGCGAATTCATCACTGATCAAATAAAACGGCACACATCTACCTGATTACAAGACACATGGAAAATATTTCACAAATATTTTTGTATATCTCTTATCAAGATCCATTAAAAGGTTCACACATTCTTTACACTGGACCGATAATAAATATAATCAAACTGATCAATGGTAACATTTTAATGACTTAAAAAGTATGTCAGTTAATTGAGACGGGTAATATACAAATCAAATTTCATAAACTATGTTCAGCTCACGTGGTCTATTTTTATAGAAAACCGCCGGTTAACTGCGGTTCTTCAAATAACCGCCAATTGACCGTGGTTCACTATAAACCGTCAATTAATCATGGTTAACCGCCGGTATTTCTGATACCGCAGTTTGGAAAATTAACCGCCAGTTGACCGCGTTATTCCGGAGAACCGACGATTAACCGTTTCTTTTCCAAGCACCGTTTTGTTTTTTGGTTACTATATGTACATAAGTACAACATGATTTACCGAAAAACTCTAGAATTTTTTTCGTGACTTCTTGAAGTATGAACTTCAACTTAGTCTAAATATTTTTCAGACTGCGTCTAGCAGTCATGGCAAGTAGATAAGTACTGCTCAGTCCAGAATTTCACCGGTATGAGACTGTGACTAACAGATAGTTTTACTGCTATGGAATACATGAAAATTCAACACTCAACAGAAAAATGAAAAAATGTTCAGAGGAGGATTTGTACTGATATCGCTAGCTCAGCAAAAAAAACAACAATTAACCGCGGTTAACCGAGCATTTTGTGCCGGTTCGCGCACACTTAAACGGACGGTTAACCGAGGTTAATTGGTGGTTTTTTGCCGGTTTGATAAACATGGGAACTGTTGTCTTAAAACTCTATTCATAGCAAACTTTTCCCGAAACGATAGAAAACTGCGAAATGCCATGTTAAGGAACGTTTGAAAACGCTTTCGTAAACGGAATCATTACTATTGATCATATACTGTTTAATTAAGTATTATTTAAGCGAGCAAAACTTCCAATACTTTCTTGACATTCTTGGAGTTTATCAAAAATTCAAACGCTTTCGTTAGTGATGTATTTTTGACTAACATATATGCGGAAACTCCTTTTCTTGTAGACAAAAGTCTTGCTTTCCATTCAAGGATCCTTTCAGGAATTCGCTTTTTTCTTCGAAACTGAAGTAAGCATATGGCTAAGTATCCCAAACTATCATCTTTCAGAATCCATCTCAAATTTGCCAAAACTTCAATGTTTTTGAAGGTTTTTGGAAAAGATTTCTGAAAACCCTAAAAACGAGCTCAAATATTTAGAATAAGCTAGTTGGACAGTGAACATTACTTACTGTATACGCCATCGAAATCGGATATGAAAGAAAAAAGGTCTTTCCTAAGGGCGGCTCCTTTTAATACGTGTGCTGTCTTGATTTCTTGTCTTGTCATCTTGTTTTTCTACATGGTACGTTTTGGTCCCTCGATGTCTTCATAATAATATATATTTTTTATCGCCCTTCTATATTCTTTTTGTATCTATACATGAGCGAGCATCTATGTCCTGCTTCGACTTATAACAGGTTTGGTATGTCAGATCAGTTGTTTATAAACAAAGCAACGTAGCTGAATATAAAATACATGGGGATGTTGATCGAAAAAATGTTCGCTTTCCTCTATTTGGAATTCTAGAGAACATTTGGAAATGCTTTTCAAAAAACCAAACGGTTGTAACAAACCCTGCAGTATTTATAGCCCTGAAAGTTAGAATAAATACAACTAATTTAGTTGCAGACTGAAAAATGTGTAAGTTTTGTTTCATTTTAGGACAAGTGTTGTTTGTTAATTATTTATTTCTCCCTTGCATCATTTTACATTTAATATAAATATGAAAATTTGAACTTCTTGCTAAATAAAAAGACAAACCACTCGCTCGATGTTCCTTGCATTGAGTGTTAGCCCTAAACAGATGTTGCGCTAGTTTTCAGTTTAAAAGTCAAATTTTTACTGTTTCCTCTTTTTCGAATCACTTCATTTTTATTTGAATAACGAAAAAAATGACAAAGAATTGCTCGAGTATATGTAAACAACGTTCGAGTTTATGAAACGTAATTATGCACAAAATATCAAAGGCAGGAATGATGCACCGTAAAAACTTAAAGAAAGCAACAATTTTTCTTACATAGATATTCAGCCGTTTTAGTTCAAAATGTTTGACAGATGGTATGGTGCCAAACACTCAGTCTAGATTGTTCCAGAATAATGAAGTACTATAGAAAAACAAAAAAAGTGGTTTTAGGGTTAAAAAGTGAACAGAAACGGATCTAGAATAATCTAATTTTTGAGCAGACCTATCGAGTTCAGATGTTATAAGTTAAATTCATGGGGATCGAGGATGAAATACTGATTTAGAATACAGAAGTAATTTTACAAGAAGATAATATTGTCTGCAATACTTTAGATCCGGACGTTGAAGTCTATCTACAATCGAATTATAATTCCTTTAGTTGACTCTATAACGTCAACTTTATTATCAAATTTTTTTGTAATGATGCGAATTTTTAAGCAGATTTCATCGTATTACAATACGTAGTATATAAATTATTGTAGGTCGAACAGCCATAATCTAGCACGCAAGTTTTATCTAGATGGGAGTCTAACTGAATCAGATACATCACAAATGTACCTGCTTGATAAATCTGTCTTTGTTATATGAGTTCTTAAATGTAACTCTTATCGAAGACCTTTGGTTATGCTTCACAAGGTAGGACGTCATTGTTAATATCGAATATAAGTATTGCAAGTAGGAAAAAGTTTACAGAAAAATATAAGTTTTTAAACATTTTTTAAAATTTAGAGTAAAAAAATTGAATGACGCCACACACAATCTCACCTAGCATAGTATTTCTAGTTGTGAATAATGACGTAGAATCAGAAATAAAAAGACTTTCGAAAGTTCAATGTACAAATAGAATTATAAAACACACTCTTCCTTGAATGCGATTGGGATCATTTTGCGCTATTATAATTTTTTTATTTAATTAATGCTCGAGTCAAACCATCTCTTTTACTACGTCAAAGTAAAAAGTACTACCCTAGTCATACCATGACATCAGAGGTGCAACCAGTATCGGCATACCGGTCAGTATACCGATACCGGTACCGGTATGACTTATAACGCCGACCGGTATACCGGTATTAGTATGAGGTATACTCAGTTGGTTGATATTGCTGGTATTTTGTGGTATGATGCGATTTTTCCCAAAACATCTTGTAAATTCAGCTCATCTGCGACATATTTCTTCCGCTGGAATTTCATTCCAATTACGTAAACTTAGTTCGGTTATATAAGCTTCTTAATTTAAAAAACTGAATTGAATTGCTGTTTTTGTTAAAAAAGTGCGTGGGAAAAATCAGCTATACTTCATCAAAGTGAAGAGATTAATCTGTCTCTTTGATAACATAAGTAATTGATCAAAAGAAGAGTAATCGGTTTTTTTAGGCGTGTTAACAGACTTCTTCACATATGTGAAAAGGAAAAAGTATTTGTATTTAGGCAAAACATAATCAAGACAAGCTGCAACCAACCGGTACCGGTACGAAGTTCGTATACCGGTGACCGGTATCGCATTTTTGGTACCGGTTACATTCCTTTCCGGTTACATTACATGACATTCCTTTTTGAATTGTATTTAATACTTTTTTTTGTAACTTTCACTGATTTTTGTGGGATTTTAGTAGTTTTCTATCAGCTTTTCAAAAATGGAGGAAAATATAGATGAAAGAAAAGGAACCTGACGTTAGCATTCGATAATACTCGCAACACTTTAATAACGATAACGTTCATGTCCAAAACGAATATTTTTCTATAATTCAAAGAAATTACAAAACCACTAGCCTGGATTATCCCAGAAATATTATATGTCAGTTTATCTAAGAGATAACTTACTTTCCAGCGTGGTATTCTCTGCACGTATTGTATTTTGTATCCTTAGGCAAGTCACGGTTGTACATTAGTGGTAGATGAGCAATTATAATACAGTTTTATCCTGCTATTTATTTATTTGTTTTTATCTTTAAACGTATCGTCGCAATAATACAAGACAAAACAGTCAGTCGTATATGTTAATAGATAAAAACAAAATCAAAAATAAAGAACAAAAACTTCACATCAAGACAAAAACAAAACAGAAATAATTGACTAAAGAAAATTTGTAGTTTTATACTTTGTGAAGGGTACAATACCCCAAAAATAAAAACGATAATAACAAGATTCAAAGATTTACGATAAACAGGTCTTTTTTTTATACTTGTTCATGTTTCTGTTTACTGAAAAAAGGTCATACATGTAAATCTTCCCACAGCTACGGTTATCGAATGTTTTGAAAATAAATAATTCTAGCGAAAACTTGAATTTAGAGAAACAGTACAGTACACTAAAAAGGGAACTAGAAGGAAAAATAAAATAAATAAATAAATAAATAAATAAATATTATAGAAACAACAAAAACAAATGACTTTAATAACAACGTCAAAAGAAAAATATAAAACTCTCGGTGAGAATACGGTTCTATGCAATGTGTTCGAGATTAATTAAATTATGATTTAATAAAAGAAAATTAACAAAAGCAACAGAACATAGCCCATACTCAATAAGATTTTAACAGAAATGACAACGAATTAAATTTTACTAGAAAAAGAGAATTTTGTTCTGGTAGTATTTTCACGTTGTTTTGATTTAAGCACGTTGAATTTCAAATAATTTTACATCGGTATCATACCATATTGGTGGATCCACATTCCTGAAGACAAAACAAGAAAGTCTAGAATAGTCTATATACTATAACGATATTAGGGTATTTCATGGGAGAAGTGAATTACAACATAACGAAAAATCCTGATCCTGTTTGTAAAAGAAACTTCGCTTCTTTTTCTCATAAGTTAATATAGGATTCTACTCACCTCTTATGTCCTTGCTTTCTTTTCAATCTTAGTACGTGTAGTCTCTTCCACAATCTTATTGATTAGGGTCATAGTTCATAAAATGAATTTTACGACAAATGCAATGTCTTTTCATATATAATTTAAACGCTGAACTAGTTAAAATGTCTGTATCGACATATAATCCTACCTGAGATAAACAACGCCCCACATGTATGTTCTAAACCACATAACAGTACCAGAATTTGGTTGATATTTTCTGATCAGTATTGGATGTGGTACTGGTAATAATCCCACTAATGTACCATGTTGCAGAAATTTAATTATTTCACTTTCATCAGTCAAACCACGATCCATACATATTTTTTCAACTTGTGGTACTAATACTTGTAATAAACGCATTATTGTTTGTAGCGGTAGTTTTTGTTTCCAACTTTGTGCCTAAAAGATTAATTGAATACTAACAGAAAAGAAAAAAGATTATAAACATTTATGTTTACCCATTCTGGCGTTGGTGTCCATTCCATGCTTACACTTCCTTCACGACTAACAACTGATAACGGTGAGGATGTTCGTGAATGATCTAGTACCTAATGAAAAATTGAAAATAGAAGTATTTTAGTCAGAAAGTTCGTCTCGAGTTTTACTCTGTTATCAGTTTTATTATTTAATAAGGACGTAATATTTTCATTCGAAGATCCATTCGTAGTGGAAGATGTCCGTTGTTTTTCATTCGGCGATGATGATGGTGACGGTTGATCAAAACTTGAAGATGCAGCCAATGTTCGCTCAGTCATTTTATGAATAGCTGAAAGAAAAACAGCCAAGGAATAATCAAGAGATATTTAATTAGTAAGTTGAGCAGTTAATTTACAAGGTGTTTCAGCTAGCGTTGTTGTCATAGCATTACTATTGTTACTTCCCGCTGCAGTAGTAGTTTGTTGCTCTTTGCTAATTGATTCCCCATCTGAAGTAAATGATGATCTCGATGGAGAAAATACACTGATTGTTGTTCCCAATGCTTGCTGAGATGATTGCGAGTCTTTTTTACTAGTAATATTAGTACCACCACCACTATTCGTAACAGATTTTGAACATAATTTACTTATGGAATGTGAATCAGTTGCTAAATTACTAAGCGAAAAAAATATTTGACGTTTTCGAATAACTGTATAAACAAGATTGGCATTGCCTACAATAAAATAAAATGTGCTTATGAAGTTTTTTAACATGTACACAAACAAGTTTGTGGAAGTGCCGATATTCAGCCGTAGTCGATCTAACTCTCGACAAAATAATGAGATAAATGAAATAAAAGACATTTATTTTTCCGTCTTCGATTACCTACCGTCAAACTGATACTGTATTAGATTATTAAATGCTTCCAATAGAAAAAATACCAAATGATGATTGTCCGACGCAGAGAATAGAAACCATGGTGAACTAAAAGCCTAAAATAGATGAGTGATGCATTTATAATAAATAGAGGAAAAAAATGTCTAGAAGTTACCTCAAGTAAATGCACCATTTTATTGCTTGATACCATTGATAAACTTTTTAAATACGGTGAAATATTGACGATTATTGTTAAGAGGCAATCATACAGTGGTTGAAGACGTTGATGGGCAGATACAATAATTTTATGAAAAACCTTCATACAAGAAACAACACGTCTCCTAATCATTCTGATCAACTTTTTATTTTAAAAATACTTACAATAATGAGAAAATCAGCATGTGTACCAGTAAAAACAGGTATATCCATTGGAACACGAGTCTGATACGGTTTGTTTAATCTTACACCAAAATTGCGTTCACCACTAAGTAATAACAGAATGAAAACTCCAATATGCATTAAACCAACTTTGGCTAAAATAAGAACAGATGACAAACTATGAGAAGTATTCTCAATTTAAAAGAAAATAGTAACTTACAAGAGTCTGATCGTGCATCATTTAAATAATAAAGAATAGGAACCAGAATGTCAAGTACCTCGCTGCTTTTGAGTACGTAATAAAGAAATTTCTACACAAAAAAAAAATAAAACTACTTTGAAGGTGCAAAATAAAAACTAGCATTTATAAAATTTTGAAAAATATTCTTTCCTTCTTTCAGAATAGATCACTATTCTATATGACGAAGTCTCGTTCAAAGGAACAGTGCTCGAAAGCACAGAACTCATCTGCTTGCTGTATCGAATGAAGTATTCTAAGAATACTACTTCTAACACAGTGGTCTTCTATTAAGCTTATGTGCGAAAGAACTAACAGTGATTTTCTATTATGGAAGAGGTTTTACGAGACAAGAGTAAAGTTTCTCGTCTATTACTGTCGGAAGTAAGTGAAATGTTATTCTCATCTAGTCAGAAGAACAAATATCATAAAAACTCAATAAAAATGAAAATTTTTAACGTACTTTATTTCGATCACAAAATTTCCAAAATAATATCAATAGTTCTTGATGAAAGCCAATTTTTTTACATGAACCAGGTAGATAAGTTTGTATCAACGGATTATTTAATAAACGACAAAAACCTTTCAATAAAAATGCAAAATCCTAAAACAAACAAAGTATAAGAATAGATCAATACTAGTTCACTATTCATCTAACTTCATCACGATGAATTCTTGATAAATAATTAACAAATAAATTTGCACAATCCTCTGAAGATGATGACGTTGAGTTTAATGAATTTGATATATTTTGATTATTTGGAGAAACAATAGTTTTTGTTGTTGTTGATGACATATAATCTGCGTTTGACGATATATTTCCATCCGAAAATGCCGTATTATCAAGCGCAATACACAACAATTGGGCAGCAACTTCAACTAATGGTTCACGTGTATCAGTAAATAAAAGATAATTATATGGTAAATAACCAACAGGATCATAGGAAAATACGATGTTCAACAATGATGTAAACAATGGTAATGTTTGTCTAAATAATAGTTCAAAACGAACGTGAATAAACTTGAGACTACCAGTGTATTGTAAAGATGACAGAAAAGAAAAATAATCACCTATTATTCCCCGACGTAAAATATGTCAGCCATTTATTCGGTTGCAAATGAAGATCAACTATCAAAAACAAAGATTTACAAAGATTATTCAGTTTCATCTCCAGTACTTTTTATATTACGAGAGATTCTCAAACATTATGCAAAATCGTTCTAGAACTTTGTATTTCTTACAACAATAGTTCAATGCGTCTATATAATACCGCAAAATAACGAGGAAAACCTAATTACTTGAGGGCGCCATATAAATTGCCTCGGAAAAACATGTCAATAATAATTTTAATATTTCGGCACGATTTCGATCATTTTGTGGATAGTGCGTTGGTGAATGAGCAAATCCAACACCCGCTTCCCAAATATATTCACAACTATCAATTGTATGAATATCTTCTGGATTTTCCTTCAGAAGAGAGAAAGTAATTAGAAATAAAGAAAAAACAAAAAACTACATACAGGTCCTTTTTTCTTCTTCGAGGCAACGGTAAAGTCAGGGCAGAACAATAAGTCCTATAACAAAAACAATTCTTATAATATCTTGTTTTTTTCAATATAAAACTATTCGTTATTTACCGATAATGTTTGAAGCAGACGTTCGGCTAATGGCTGACTACTGGAAAAATCCTGTAAGATAAGGAAACAATAGAAATAACGTGAGAATTTTTTAAAAATTTATTTAAACAAGGGCTTACTCCACTTTCGTTTCGTGCATTTTGAGGCTGTTTGTTTGGAATATCTGACCAAAAGAATCCACGCCATTCTGGTTCTTCAAAGATATACGGTAGTAAACGTGTCAGTAATCGAACACAATTGATAGCTAAATATAAAATCCACTTTTTTATTTAAGCCGCTATTGCAACAGCACGATTTTTTATCTAACCTGCAACCTGATCACGCTGAGTTTGACAAGAATGTTCAGCTGCTAGTACTAGACGATCAACCACTTTAATACATAATGTAGCTAAATTCGATGGTGTTTCTTCTCTTAATGCACGTATCTCAGCTAACAAATCCAGACAAAACAATTTATTTTATTTTTATTTTACACTACTGCATGAATGAACGTACCTGCGGGTATTAATGCAAAAATATCTTGTACACTAGAGATTTTGTCTGACCAAAATTGATCCCAAAATGACTCATCTTCAATTTGCTGGAAGGAAAAAGGAAAAACATCCATAATTACAAGTAGAACACAAAATAATAACATACTTGACTACGAGACGTCAGCTGCACAACGGCTACACGAAAATCAACTTTAGAATCTGTATTACCCATAAGAAAATTATCTAGGAAGAAAAACGCACTATATCGTTAGTATAACTAGAGATTGGCATGGACAGCATCTAATGCGCATATCTATGGTATTTTCCAGCGTATTCTTCCTTGAAAACAGGTGCCAATCAAAGAAAAGGTAACCTGATGTTTAATTTAAAAAAAGTCAGTTAACGCAAAACGTAGTGTACTTTAAAATAAGTATAACTGCTCTCAGTATTGTGTTCCTTTAGTATATGTTTACATTGGTTCCTTCCTCGTCGCTGTCTTTTGTACCAATATACCAAGAGTATATATGGGCACAGTGACTTATCAATCTTTGTTGAATCCATGCATATACGCGTTTTTTTCTCCAGTTTAATGATTTTAATAGTTGCAGTTTTCTGTTCATAGATTCGTGCAGATAACTTACATTTATTATTCCACAGACACTCAGGAACTTCAGACCCGTTACATCAGACAAATAACTCTTTGTTTTTGAGAAAGGAACGAAAAGCCAGCGTGACCGCAGACGAGACTAAAATAGCTATTTTAGACGCAAACTTAGTGATAGAAGCTGGTAAGTGAGAGCAAATATGCCAACAAAAAGCTCAGTTTAGCAAAATAAATCTTCAGTAGTGTAGCCTGCTAATTCTTAACGATGAGCGATTTGTACAACTCTTTCGAGTCGTGCGTAAAATTTTAAACAACAATTGTACCTACTGAGAACAGGACTTGTTGTTCTCGTCTCAGTTAGATGTACGGTACAAAAATTTCGAAAAAAAGGCTGAATAAAGACTAATAAACTTCAACAAATCTACTCCGAATCCTGTTTTACTTCCGAAACCCTTGTTCTAAAATTAATTAAATTAATTTGATTAAAATACGGTCTTTTATATGCCTTCTTTTTTTTTCAGCCTTGATCGTAGTATTGGACGCCAGAAACAACCAATCACTGTTTATGATTGATCAAATGCATAACTATTACAAATACTTCCTGAGTTTAAAACATCAGTAAACCTTCTCTACTTTTCCATTAACTTTTTTCTAATATTAGGAAAGAACTAAAAATAATTTCTAACAAATTTGTTTTGTACTGTGTTGTGGCCGATATAGCACTTTTTATTGGCTCTCAATACATATCATTTTTACATGAGATTCCGAAATGATGATGGTATGCGATAATAGCTCTGTGTCTAAAAAAAACCGTAAAAGTGTACCAGTGTTATGTCAAAAGTGTGTCTTACAAAAAATATTATAGTGTCATGCTTGTATCGTGTCAACGTATTGTAGAATGAAAATTTCGACACGATCAACTCACGCTTTGACCGTGTTCGTTTTGCATCATGTAGTATTTTTTATCATTCTTGTTTCAAATTTTGATGAGTACAATTTGTTTTCATAGCAATAGTAAAGATTAAATCTGGTTCAAATATTTTTGATTATTTAAACATCACCTTCTTCTTTTCAGACTAAACAGTATAAAATTAAAATAAGATCGCTTTCTCCAGCTTCTTGTCTCTTTCTGTTATAAGATATATGGCTGATGCTGGAGGTACTCGTCGCCGCGTAAAATTATACACATTAAATGAAGAACGGCAGTGGGATGATCGAGGTACTGGCTATGTCACGTGCACATCATCAAATGATCGTTTGCACAGCCACAATTATTCAATCATTGTTAAATCGGAAACGGACGGTACGAATGATCGAACTTTTGTGTAACTTACAATTTATTGGTCTTGTTTTATATTCCAGGTTCAATACTCTTGGACTCAAAAATTCTTTTGAATACAAAGTATCAAAAGCAACAAGTACGATTAGTACTAAATTTTTGCTACTTAGTCAGTAATATTTTGTAACCTTTAGGAAACATTAATTGTATGGTCGGAAGGAGAAAAATTTGATTTAGCCTTGAGCTTTCAAGAAAAAGCCGGATGCGATGATATTTGGGAAAATATTTGTGAAGTAAGATTTCCGTTGTACTCATTTATTTATTTCTATTAATTCTGACTATTAAGGTGCAAGGAAAAGACTCTTCATTTATTACCACCGATCCAACATCAATTTACGAGAGTGACGATGAATCATGTGCAGCAGAATCTAATGAAAACTTTTTAAATACTACGATTAATTTACCATCAGTCGATTTAGCTCATATACGAGAAATAGTTGATTTATTTCAACCGGAAAAAGTGCGTGATGCATCACGTCGTGATAACTTAGCACGTTCAATTGAAATGAATAATTATATAAAAAAACTAATCGATTTATTTCATCAATGTGAAGATTTGGAAAATATTGAATGTTTGCACTATCTATACGATATTATTCGTGGAATATTTTATCTGAACAAAAGTTCATTATTTGAAATATTATTTAGTGACGAATTGATTCTAGACGTTATAGGATGTTTAGAATATGATCCCAATAAAGCACAACATCAACAGCAAAATGAACTGAAACATCGTGAATTTTTAGATACTAAAGCAACATTTAAAGAGGTTATACCCATAGGCAATCAAGAATTATTATCAAAAATACATCAAACATATCGTATACAATATATTCAAGATGCAATACTCCCTGCACCATCGCTTTTTGAAGAAAATCTATTATCCACCATGAATTCATTTTTATTTTTTAATAAAGTTGAAATTGTAACGCTATTATACGTATGTATTGCAAATTTGCAGTGAAATCTGTGCATGTTGATCCTTTTTGAGTGCAGGACAGTTCTAATATAGAACCTTTCGCTATCATGGAGTTAGTTAAGTCAGAATATCGTGTATGTCCTTTTAACGACAGAATACCACTTTCTGCTTAGTTCATTCAGCAAGATTTTGCATAAGAGATGGTTTTCTAAGAAATATATTGTTAGCTTGTTTCTACGTAATACAACAGATAGTGTCAAAAAGTTGTTTATTTGTTTTTGTTCTATTCTACTTTTCTTATGCTTTAATTTTTTTCTCTTTTCGTCTATAGGAAGATCCAAAATTTTTAACCCAGTTATTTTCCACATTGAAAGATGATAATGTATCAGATGAAAAACGTAAAGATTTGATGTTATTTCTCAAAGAATTTTGTGTCTTTTCACAAACATTGCAACAACAGAATCGCGATGCATTTTTTCAAGTATGTTTCTTGTTATATCTTTTTTCTTCTTTACTGCACTCGTTTAATTCTAGGCATTAGCTAGTCAAGGAATATTGACAGTAATTCAACTGATGCTGGTGAGTAAAAAGCATATTCGAAAAATAAATACTCACAATCTTTATGCATTTTTTTTAGAGTTTGGATGATATTACAATTAAACAAGCGGCATTAGACGTATTTGCATCAATCGTTGAATGTAATCCATCAACAGTAAGAGAATATATGCTACATGAAACACAAGCAACACAAGATGATGATGAATTACTATTGAATTTGGTCATTAGCGAAATAAGAAGTGATCCTGATCCAGGTATATTGTCTTTTCTTCTTATTTTGATAATAAAATACTATGATCTCTTCTTTTAGAACTCAGTGGAGCATTGAATCTTATGAATTTTTTAAAATTATTAATCGATCCAGATGGCATGTTAGCGACATCCGTATGTTTTTTTATAAACTCGTCGACGAAATTCTCCAAAGCTCTATTTTAAATTTAGATTGGCGAAAAAACAGAATTTTTATCTTTTTTCTACATTCGTTCCATGCCTGTATTATTAGCACCGTTAATGGCTAATACCAGTGATTTAAAACTAGGTCGTGGTACGAAATTTTTTGTTGTTATGCTAATTGTTCATTATAAAAACATTTCTTTTTTGTTTAGATGATTTTCATACAGCACAATTACAAAATTTAATACTTGACTTTGTGACATTCTGTGTTGAACATCACACATATCCTATGCGCAATTTTCTGAATAAAAAAGATTTATTAAGACGCGTACTTGTTTTATTAAAATCAAAACATCAATTTTTACAACTAAGTATGTTTATGTTCTAGAAATCTACTGTCTTATGTCTTTGTGATCAGCGAAAAATATCTATCCTTCATATCAATTAGGGAAAAAATCAAGTGTAAATAATTTATCATGATGATTGACATCGAACTTCTTTCGTCCTTTTCATACTAACAATTCTCTTTTTTTAATTTTCAAGGTGCACTTCGTTTTCTTAGACGTATTATTGGTCTTAAAGATGAACAGTATACTTTGTCTATTGTTCATAATAATTTATTACAACCTGTTGTTGAAGCATTTAAATCGAATGGTAGACGTTACAATTTATTAAATTCTGCGTTAATTGAACTTTTTGAATTTATTCGACAAGTAAGAGACACGTTTTTAATTTATATCTATACATATTGCTTTGTGTTTTTTAGGAAGATCTGAAAGCATTATTGATGTATGTTGTTGAAAATTTTTATTCTGATTTTGAATCGGTAACGTACGTTAAAACATTTAAAGAAATGAAAATACGTTATGATCAACATCGTGATAAAAAAGAACGTTCACTTATTGATAGGTAAAAGGAAAAATGTTAACATATTTCTTTGCGTAATAAAAAATAACATTTTTGAAATTTAGCGGCACACCGATTATCTCACGTATGTTAGAACAAAGACACCGTAAAGATGCGAGAGATTTAGATATTGAAGAAGAAAATTGGTTTAATGATGATGATGAAAATAATGATAGTCAACAACAAAATCACGATCTGACATTAGACAATAACAATGAAAATGGTTTAGATGATGCTCAAGCAACAACAACATTAGATTCAACGGGTATGTACATTTCTTCTTCTGTGTTAAAATATACATTTTATTGCTTTTTCCAATTAAGATGATCTCTCATTGATTTCACAACAACGAAATTTTGCACCATATAGCCGTTCGAATCATCTTAAATCCGCGATCAGTATTCACATTCGACGTCCTAATCCTTCATTGCCTATATCTGTTGGACAATTGTATCAGTCATCATCAATTCCTAATTCTACTTCATATTCTCTATCATCATCTCTATCTAGTATAAATTATGCATCGACAATAGCAAATAAAATTCATAAGAATAATGATCATGATTTATCGCTTCGGCTAGATATACCATCTTCATCATCTTCACTAGAATCATCAATTGCAAATGAATCTTCCTCCATCACAATGGTAAATATCAACGGTAGTTTTTGCTCATTAGAAAAACTCACTTATTACATTTATTTGTAGAGTCCTGGACTTCGAAATATTGCACAATATCAAGATCAAGACTCGGATGAAGATGATCAGAATCCAACGTTGGAAGATGAGGCAGAAGAAGAAGCAAGCGAAGGTGGAGATATCGAGATAAATGAAACGATATCAGAAGGAGTCGCCGAAAAACCTCAGCTTACGCCGAATACAATTCTAACAGCGGATACTGATGATTCTGTTGAATCAAACCAAAGTGCATGTGTCTCGTCGTCGTCATCATCATCGTGTTCAACTGAAAACATTACACAATCCGAAGGATTATATCATGATCCAAATTCTGTCCGTGATGATATAAACAATTTGAGTAACAATAGTAGTAATAATCAGTATTCAGACAAAAATGGTGACCTGTTAACAAAAAATACTAGCTTCGAAGAAACACCCACATCATCAGAAGAGATAATATCGTCTTCATCAACCTCTTGTCGAAAACGTAATCGATCTGACAATGATATTACAACAGAAGATATTTCTACTCAAGAAGCTAAAGTGTTTTGTAGACGAAGTCAAAATGATAATAGCAATGTCGAAATCACAGCAGAGAATAGTAATGATGTGCCCGACGAAGAAGAACGATAATGAACACTATGAGCATAGGCAAAAGATTTGTTTTGTATCCCTCAGGTTCTGTTGTGTTGGTCTCTCATACACACACACATACATATATATATATAGATATATATATATTAAAGAATGCCCTCTTTTTCTGTCTTTTATGTTACTTATTTTGTTTTTGTACTATACACAGTTCATACATAATTGAACGATAAGATCTCTCTCTCTATTAAAATTTTTGCTGTAATTTGTTTTTTTTTTGTCCGCGCTCGAGATTTTAACTTACAAGACCTGTAGACAGGTATTAATCATTTTGTTGGTTGTTTTTTCTTGTCCGCGCAGACATACACGACAATATCAGTTTGCTCGTAGACGTCATTTTTTGACATCTACTATTGTTAGAAATCTTTGCATTATTTTGTTTCCTTGCTGAGAGGAGAGTATGAGAGTGCGAGCGTCAGTGCTAGAAAATATTAAAAAAACTTTTTCATATATTTCTGTTTTTATTAGTGGTATTAAAAAATTCTCTACGAATATTTCCTATTTTCGCGCACTCGTCTTGTACATAGATATATTCCAACAACAAACAAATACATTCTTCTATTAAGCAGTCGATAGTTATTATATTATTCATCATTGTACAGAGATATAATAATATAACCCATCATATTTTGTTGTCTTCACATTTCATGTTCTTGTTTGTTTTGCTGTCTATCTTTCTTTTTCTCTCTTCTATTTCTTGTCCGTCTTTTGTTGTTGGGATATACAAAAATGAAAACAAAGAAAAAACAGCTATTCTTCTGTTCAAATTTATTTGTTATTTGTTTTGTTTCTTTTTTGCATATTGAATTCTTGTAAGAATTTTTAAAAACTATAAATTAATGAAAAACTTGACACGCTAAACTTATGGCAATGTCTCAAACATATACAAATTCAAATAAACGATGACTTTCTAACAAAAATCTCTGATCATTTATGATATCAAAGCAAGCTATTTTTACGAGATTTAGAATTCTAAAAGCAAGAAGTGTTAGCTTTTGAATGCTGTTTTCAAATATTTAGAATGAATTGTTTGTTTGATATCAAATTTTTAGATTTACATTTATTACTGTGTTATTTATCTTTCTTATCATGAGTTGGATGAAAACTGTTGCTTATGTGTTGAGCGCGGGTGCTGGCGCATTTGGAGCGTTGATTCTATACAGGTTGGTTGACTCCTACGGTTCGTGATTTTTATTTTGTTTTTCATTTTAATGAGTTATCAAAATTTATTTTAGAGATAAATATGTTAGTGTGAACTACAAAGGTACTGAACAATTACTCGGTAAAACATGTGTTATCACTGGTAGTAACAGTGGTATCGGCAAAGAAGTAGCCAGAGATTTTGCTCAGCGAGGTATTTTCGACAACATTTTATAAAAAATGATCTACTGTTTAGTTTTTGCTATAGGAGCTCGAGTAGTAATGGCTTGTCGAGACATAAAGAAATGTGAATTAGCTCGTGATGAAATTATAAATGAAACAAATAATACAAATGTTGTTTGTTATGAATGTGATTTAGCATCAATTGAATCAATTAAAAGTTTTGCATTACGATTTAACGTAAGTTTTTCTATTTCAATACTTTGGATTATTATGTGATGTATTCATTCGTCTTACAGACTGAGGAAAAATATTTACATATATTAGTGAATAATGCTGGTATTATGTGGCATCCACAAAAATTAACAAAAGATGGTTTTGAACTACATCTTGGCGTCAATTATCTTGGTCAGTTCATGTGAGTGGAAACTACTGTATTTCATATCATAATCACATAAATTTAATAAATATAAATTATTTTCTTTATTCAAGGTCATTTTTTATTAACAAATCTTTTAATTGATAAATTGGCTAAATGTTCACCAAGTCGTGTTGTAAATTTAACATCGGCAGCTCACAAACGTGGTGTTATTGATTTTGATGATTTAAATATGTCTAAAAAAGTTTATAATGCCAAATATGCTTATGAGCAAAGTGAATTAGCACGTGTATTATTCACAAGAGAATTTTGTCGACGATTTTCTGGTAAAATAAATATCTTTTTATGGTTTAATGATTCGTCATTTGTTTTTGTTTTTCGTTTTAGATAAGGGTGTTACGTCATACGCTGTTCATCCGGGCATTGTTCGCTCAAATATTTCTCAATACACAATTGATAATTCGATTATTAGTGGAACTATCATCGGACCATTTATGTCGGCATTTATGAAAAGTTCAAAAACGGGCGCACAAAATGTTATCTATTGTGCATTAGATAAATCGATAGAAAATGAGTGCGGAAAATACTACAGGTATGACATTTTATTTAATACGAAAATAATTGATTATTTGTTTTTATTGTATATTTTTAGTGATTTAACAGAAAGTAAACCATCCAAAGAAGCATTAAACGATGCTAATGCTAAACGATTATGGGCAATCAGTGAAAGATGGACAAGACTAAAATAGTCGAATGTCACTCGTTTTTGTTTAGTTATTTGATTATTGTAGACTACTTTTTAAAGAACTTTTTTTTATCAGTAAAATTAGTATAATAAATAAAGCTTTATTTATATAAAACAAAGTCAATTTATATTTCTAAAGTTTCTGTTATGAGCTCAATATATTTATTATTTTTATTAAATGGTGTCTCATATCAAATCATTAGGAGGATTTTTCACTTTAACAATGATATTACTATTAATCAGACTTGAAGTATGACAATGTACAAAAGCAGTTTTGACGATTGGATGAGATTGTCTGGAATAGAAGTATGATTTTAAGATAATTAATTCTTAGTACAGCATAGAATTAGTTATTTTCAGAATCATTACTGTAGAATTGATTGATATGAGCAAGAAAAGTATGGTTTTAAATGCCCTAGGCATCAGCACGGTTTTTTCCTTAGCAACGTTAGCCAGAGCATCCTTTATTGTGAAAATCGATATATTTCTGTGTTACAGAGTTCAGATGGTGTCAGAAAAAATAAGAAAAAAAGAACAGGATTTTGATAAGAATTAGAACCATTGCATTAGAGACTCGACAAATCATTTAAATATAGAAAAAAGTTTGACAGATTTGTTTGTACTATGGTTTAAATAATCTATATTGCTGTCAGGTACAAGAAACGTATGAAATATTTGAGATAAAATGATAATATCACAGACTAAATTAATCTTTACAAAATTTCAAAGATTTATTTTTAATCGTAATCTAATAATAAAATATTATTCATTGATTATTTTACACTGAACTGAAATACACATTATATTTCATAAGAATTAATTTAACTTGAAAGTCAAATACTGTTGTTAGTTACTTAACTAGTTCAAATATACGCGCCACTTTTGAATATGAGTTTGAGTATTCAAAATAAACTTTTGTTAGTAATCAAAATATATCTAGATAAATAATTTTGACCAGTGAAACAAAAATAAAATAACAAACAAATAGTTGGAAAAAAAATTTGGTCTATTATTCATTTTAGAATGGTTGAACATCTAAGAACAACGAGAAATAGCGATCATTCTTTATCTAATGAACAAATGGTAATCAATTCAAGATTAATAGCTCTAAATGGAAGACTAAAAACAATTTTCTTGAATTATTTACACTATAATTCAAATTTGCGTTATTATGGAATTTGTCTACTGATTCGACTCTTATCAACAATCGTTTTTCCACAACGTGGTTATATTCATCCCGATGAACATTTTCAAGGACCAGAAATCGTTTACGGTAGGAGAAACAAAGAAGTTTCATAATAATTTAAAATTTATCATTCGACAATTGATTTTCTTTCATTGAACACTTAAACACAAAGTCTATTTTAATTAAAAGCTTAAAAGTATTCGGACACAAATTTTTTGTCTCTGGTTGTAATATAAAGAAAAGCGTTTATTTGACCATAATAAAGATCTAGTCATGTCTAAACTTAGCAAAAATAATAAAAATAATGTTTAGAACAAGGAGTTTGAGAGAAAAATTTTCATGAACATGCTTCTGAGCATATCTTATCGTTTTAATCATTGAATTAGAAAATAAATATCCGTACCCTTTTTACGTCATAACTAAGTCTCCTATTAAAATGTCTATTTCTACTTTTATCTAAAGGTGCATTCTACATTTCTCTCTGTTTGTATTTGAACAATAGTTTTTTTGTATTAAGATGATATATTTCAAGGGAATATGACTCGAACACATGAGTTTAATAGTGTCAATCCATTACGAAGTGTTAGTATATTATATTTATTATATTGGATTCCAATTTCTATTTTATCATTATTATCATCAATATTTCAATTGACAATTCCGTTTTATGTTAAACTTATAGTACCACGTGTTAGTATATTTTTATTATCATTGATCAGTGATTGTGTATTATATCGTTTAATTCTATTATGCTTTCCATCGTTGAGTAATAAAGAACAATGTAGAGTGATGTTTTACTATAGTTCATCCTATATATCATTAGTCTATTTTACACGTACACTATCGAATTCATTTGAAGCATTTTTATTTTTATTTTTAATTTATTCTATTCTCATTAGTTCATCATTACTCATTGACGATATTGAAATCATCGAGATGGATACTATTAATGAGGAAAATGAAAATAATCATGATTCAGATAGAAATGTTCATACACTATCAACACCAACTGTTATTCATTCACATCGTAAATTTCATCGATCAATGAAAGAATTAAAATTAATTAAATATTCTCATCAATCATTGGATATATCATCAGTCATTATCGGTATTATTTGTTCACTAGGTTTATTTAATCGTCCAACTTTTGCCGTATTTGCCTTTGTACCAATTATGTATTGGTTTATTAAATTAATTCCATATAAATATTGTTTTCGTTTATTCTTTTTGTTTACGAGTGCATTTGTTCTAACAACATTAACATTAATTACATTTGATACTTTTTATTTTCATAAAAAAATTGATATTTTAAATTTGATCTCATCATTTCAATTACCATTACTTGTAATTAGTCCATTAAATTTTTTCTTATATAATAAAAATAGTAAAAATTTAGAAGAACATGGTATTCATCCACCACATTTACATTTTACTGTTAATGCTTTTATTTTATTTGGACCATTACATCTCTATGTCGTATGTTCAAGTATCTATCGTTTAACGAATATTAAAAAAAGACTAAATCAACTTTTAAATCGAAGAAATGAACAAATATCATTATCAATAAATAATCAGAATGAGAATATCGTTGGTGATAGTCATTTGATATCAACAAAATCAAATGAAGTTAATAAAACACAATCTTTAACGACGACAAGATTATTATCATCAAATATTGCTCTGCCAACGTTAGGTATAAAAAAATAATCATCTAAAACCTCTCCGTAGTGATTTTTTTTTTTCACTTCTAAATTATGTGTTTCTATGTTCTTTTTTAGAACGACAAATGTCTACATTATTTTTTTGGTTCTATATTGTACCATTTATTCCATTATCACTCATTTCTCATCAAGAGCCAAGATTTTTGATTCCATTAATTTATCCATTGATTTTATGTTGTATTCATCCATTATATTTATCATTTAAAGATAAACGTATTCTCTGTGGTACTTGGCTAGTATTTAACATTTTGACATTCATATTCTATGGTTATATGCATCAAGGTGGATTAATACCCGCCTTGAAATATGTTCATGATTCAACATTACCCACTAGTCCCATATTTCCAACAACAACAGCATTGCATATTAATGATAATATTGAAGAAAAATTTATCATTACCTATCATACGTATATGCCTCCAACATATCTCATTTTACCATTAACAAAAGATCAAACAAAAAAACAAACAAAATTAACCATTATTGATTTAAAAGGAAGTGATCGTAGTGTACTAGATCGTACAATTAAAACGATATTCAATGATGATCAATTGAAAAATATTAATATTTATTTAATTATGAGTGCTACTCAACAAGAGAAAATCTATAAAAAACAACAACAACAACAATATCGTTTTCATCTAATTAAGCAATGGGGACCACATATCAATTTGGATGATGATATTCAATTATTAAATAAAACATTAAAAATAAATGAGAAAATAAAAACGATCAAAAATGCTTATCAATGTGATTTGTATCATGTTGTAAGAGATAAAAACTTGAAAAAACTCATATGATCTGTGATAATCGTAATAAATTCAGATAATCAAATTACCAATACTATTTTTTGTTAGTTCTGTACATAGATATATATATATATATCCGTTACAAAAAGATTTATTTTATTATTTGTCAAATAGATTAGTTTGAAATAAAGTACATCATATATAGCCAGAAGAATGTACAGACAAACATCAATAATTTCAAAAAAAAAAAAAAATTGCATGTAACTATAGCGTAAGACAAATTTTTTTGATTGTCATGAACTTCTGACGAATTATTTCTTACTACATTTTGTCTGTACAAGTTTCTGTAACATTGTGTTTTTGTTTTCCAAGATCCACTCCTATAACAAAGCACGATTTCCTATCATACGAAAAAAAAACCTTTCGAATATAAAACAGAAGGTTGTGATTGGCCTCGGCAAGGAGAATAATAACAAACTTATTCTACAGGTAAATCAACGATTGGCACTATTTTTGTCAGACTTCTTCCATTGATCATTCACAATGTTGTAATCAATAACAAAAATAAAGCGATGAATAATTGAGATTAGTTAATAAGCAGCAGTAGTTCAAAATCTAATGATGTAACTAAATGAAGGCTACTGAATTCAAAGAAGAACTATCTCGTTCTTGATTTTAACTATAAAGTTAAATGAGAGAGGGACGAACTTGAAGACAGAACTCAATAGTGGGTCACTAAAGAAAAGATAAGTAAAGTATATTCAACAATTCTTTCTAGGAATAAAACTTATATACTTCAATAATTAATTATTCGTAAAGTCTAAGAACGTTATTATAATATATACCAACTGAAATTCAAATATAAATTGCGATCCTTAACTGATTGCTTTAAACGATTGAACTAACTAATCTATGAAAATAAGAAAGTAGGAAGAAGTTTTAACATGCACTTTGAATCATAGGAAGATCAGACAAATGTGCAATTATATTCGATAAAACAATTTCTCATAATGAATCTGGATATACTTTGCTTATCACTACCTGTCATAATTGTTGATTTGGAGGCTAAAGTATGAAATGAGAATAACATTTTTTTAAATTTATTGTTTGATAGCCTTGATTAGAAATTCGTTTTACACTACACCGGATATTTCTTATCGTTTACTTGTTTTATCCTTCGTTTAAATGATTACATAGCGCTCAAATATAAATGGAAAATTATCGTTAAAATAATAATAATATATGATCACTTTTTTTTTTTTTTAAGATTTCTTTTTATAGAAAAAAAAAAAAACATAATGGCCGCGAGAAAAAAAGAAAATCAAATCTGTGATAAACATTGCGACAATAAAGTTTTTCTTTTCTAATGTTAAACCAGAAATGTGAAGGTAGTACTAAAAAGCAAACAAGAAAAATCAGCTACAAACTGTGTATGACTAAAAATGTACACACATAGATTTTTATGTAATTGTTAATATTCTTAACTAAACAAATGTTTCTTTTTTTATTACTATGTTTCTTTAATCACTTTTAATATGAATGATTTTAGAAGTGTGTTCACCGCTCTTTAAAAATAAAAAATAAAAAAAAGAAGAGAAAAAGAGATTTATTCAGTTTTTCTTCTTCTGATCCGATCATAGATTTGATGAATGTGTATTGCTTGATTAAATTTTGTCAATTGAAGGAAAAAACAAAAATCAGCTGCTCTGTTAAACACTGTAAATACATACACACATCTTGATCTGAAGGTACACATAGACATATACATACATATATTCTTCATCGAACAAAGAAATTATTTATTATTTGGGGAAACAACTATGTGCACAATGGAAAATTTTATTTTGAATACAAAAGTGAAAATGAGTACTGTAAGTTTTATTTTTTTATCTGATTTTAGTTTTATTTAGTTTTTTAAATAATGAAATAAACTATGAATGTAGGATATTAGAGAATTTTGTAGAGTTTGAAACTGTATGTATTTGGAGTCTAATATAGATTCTCATAACAGGATCATTCAAGAAACAAGATGCATGAGTGAAAGAACCAATTCGTTTATTCTTCATTACCGTTTGCTCTAAAATTTTCATAGATAAAAAATGTGATTTTTAAACAGCTAGAAGAATTAAAGTATAGTCTGTAAGAAGTATACATTTATCTTTCTTAGTGCTTCACTAAATGCATACAGTGGAATGTCCAATGGTAAGTTCGCATGAGAGAGAAATAGAGAGAGTCAGAAGTATCGCTAGATTGCTTTGCTAGATTTGAAGACAGCAAGAAATGTTGGCGTTTAATTATCTAAAACAATATTAATTGATCTACGATTACTGAAATCTATTTCTACATACTGCTGATCAACTTAGTTGCATTTCCTCTTGGAATGTTCACACTATAGTCATCTTCATTCAAAAGTAAAGAATAACCGGTGTAATATTGTACTTGAATTACCTTTCGCACTAAACAATCCCCTTTTTTTTAGACTCATTTTAAAATATAGATAATGAAAAAATTTCTGAATTGTATAGACTTTTTGTTGAATACATAAAAAACACTCAACGTTTAAAATTCCATCTGTACTGTTTATCATTCTCATTCTTCCTATCATTTCTAATCATGGATTATATATTTTCCTCCTGTTTTTTTTCTTCTATCTTTTCTTTGGTTTTTTTCTTCGCTACCTCTCTTTTGTTTGTTTTTTTCAATATACACATATGTAACATCATCAAAACAGTCAAAAATGGTATCATGGGCTTCTACCTCTTTCCTTTTTGTGCTGTACTTTTTTTCCTCTTGCTCAATAAATATAGTTTAAACGAACTTAGTTACTCATAGTGGGAACATTCAAGAAACAAATGCTTTACAGTTTCAGTATTCGTGTTTTCATTTTAAAAAGAAAAACTTATTTGTTTAATAATACTATCATTTCTGTGAATCTATGTGAACAATTTTGAGCATACACAAGCCCTCTGTTCTGTTCACTAAATTAACTATCACTGATACCACCACTCTCAAGGCATTCGGTATTGTGAAGCCAGTCATTAAACCGCTCAGCTTATCTTGACACGGTATTGTAATATTTGGTCATCTGAAGGTAAGATCTTCGATCTCTTATATGTTAACAATCCTAAGTTTACAAGTAGGTCAATTACGTCAACGGGCCGCACTTCAATAGCTGTTTCAATTATTGCTGACATATAATAATTTTGGGGATATTATGCTTTATTGTGTAATTACTATAGATTTTAACCTTCTATGCCTGAAAGTATTGATTACGGTATTGATTAACGGATCGAATCTCAAATAAACGTGGCTTTTTATTGTTCTTTTGTGAATAACAGAGCATTATTGTATTTGACTGAGACTTTTGATCAAAAGAATGCCTGACTCAGAAGCAATCAAAGTCGCTTCCGTCCACGTTCAATTAGCAATTCATAGGTTAGAACTATCTACAATTTCTAGCGGTCACATTATCTATGATGAATCCAAATGGTTGAAGTTTTTTCGACTTGGTTTACAGCCCACAATGAATATATCGAGTTTTTTCGTTTTAATAAAGACATCTGAATGAGTGAATCGATGTTATTTAGACAATTTGATGTGTGATATGAAAGCTCTTATTCTTTTGATGATATTATGTATTAAAGCGGCTGTTTCACTCTCGTTTCTTCTCCTGTCTAATGTACTCATTCGAAAGATTTCGAAATTTTATCGCAGATCTAAGTCGAATTCTCATTCAGGATAATTATAAATTAGAAGAAGTAATTTAGTACAACTCAGCTATCGTATACAGAATCAAAGCCTCTGTTACTAGCGAGATTTCCCAATACAGACTGAGTTTTCCTAATCGGCTGTTGATAGATTCTCTGTTAAGAAATTAGGGATCTAAACCTTTTCAAACGTTTTTTCCCATTTAATATGTATATTTTACACGAAATTTCTTATCATGTCTTTTCTATTATTATTCATGTTTTAATTGAATAGTATTTGTTTCATTTACATTGTAAAATGAATAATGTAAAAAATGCTATAAATTAATACTTCAAGATTTTAGGGATCTGAAACTTCAACTCCATTCTCGCTGCCTTTCATTTCTTATTCGAGGTTTTTTCATACATTACATACCGAAGATAATATAGGTTTTCTGATTTTTTTTGTCAGTCATCAGTCAATTTCATAAACTTATTTTTGATATTGTTTGAATAGAGTAATTAACGAAAATCTTGTAATGCTGAATTGTCACGCAGTAGTAGTTAAACCTAAAGAACAGGACAAAATAGGTTCTTAGAATATGCTATCCCTTTAGCAAGTTCAAATATCAATCAATTTTCGTTTATTCAATAGCATTATAGAATTTGAAAAATATTTGAAAATCCTTCCATGTGGCATTTATCAATAGTAGGTCAAGTTCTTCACTCCTTGTAAAACCATTTAAGAATTCAGAGAGACCTTCGTATTTTTAACTCTACAGTAGGCTATCAATGGAATTACTTTCGATGAAATGAGCAGTAAAGATTAAGCATTATGTTAGTTGTGTGTACAAGATATTTTTCTTTATGTTTCAATATGTCTGCGGGTGTATAGTGTTATAGAGTCAATAGATGAAAACATGTTAACTGCCTCGTTTTTTCTTCTTCTATATAAACTTTTCATTTTATGTTTATTTAACTCTATTTGCTAAAAAGAAAATCCTATTGAATAGAACTTGTTACTTAAAACAATTATTTCAGCATGCTATATAGTACACAAAAATCAAGCGTCGAAAATGTATATCTTTAGTCTCATACTCGACTAACACTGTCATGGATCTTTTATATTTGGATTGGGTTCAAAAATCTATAAATAAAAAAATGGCGATACGAGAGATCACTAACTTTCTGACGTCTTTCATTATTAGACTACTAAGAAGTCTAATAAAAATTGTTTGAAAGATTTGACGTAAAGATAAAATTACTTACCTCTACATACATTTAAGCAAAACTAATGGTTAATGTATTTTACAAGTGCATGTTGTAAAACAGAATATTTTAAGAGGTAGAGGTTAGACATTTTGT